CAAATGATGAAACATTGTCACATTTGTTGCAAGCAAATCGCTATTATGTATCTTGATTGGTCAAATTGGTGATTTAATCGTATAATTGATCCCAAGGTCTCTTGATACATTGTCGAGGGCAGTGGTAAGAATTCAGTTAGTATTGTGGCCCTTATGTACCGGTTTATTTTGGTAGGAAATAGTTACATATATCATCTCAGTGGCTTCCACATCACTCACTGCTCCTCAACAATCGAACTGAATGGCAAAATCAAAGAGGATGTTAGGTTACGAAAAGAGGTTGTGGTGTGACTGATAGCAACTTAGTGATCTGAAACTTTATCAGATATGGATTACAATAAAAGCCAATGGCCAATCTTCTGTAAATATCTATTATATTCTATATAAATCTGAAATGGGTTTACTTAGCCCATAGAGGTCTTTTTGTCTGTATTTTAAAAAGGACTGTATATTATATTAATCACTACTCTTGTTCATATAATGTTTGAATATACTATTCATACATTTATCATTTACTGATAATATTATCATTTCTTTTGTTTTGGGCAGTTTTAGGTGTTCTGGTGTAATCCATATAAAGGGAGATGATCCAAGTTAGTAGTGTAAAGTCTCTCGTAAAATCACATCACTTGGTAATAATTATGTATATATTTGTCGCAAATGGCCAAATGAATTTCCGGGAATTCGGGATGAAAAACTGTTGTGTGTAAAATTGAAAGAATTATAAAAAACGATAACTTCATATCGTCACTTGACTGAGTTCGGAAATATATGATACATGTATTCAGAATCCTACTCACCGTGAAACTAAGAGATTCTGGATAGAATCCTATGTGATTGTACGTGATTCTATGATTATAATTTATTGGGGATAACTGTTAAAATTTGTAAACTGAACAACAATGATCTAGATATATCTTCCAATCACCTAATACAGTAATCGGATCATTTAGATTTTTTTAGGAAAAATAACAACTAATAGCTTTCAAGATAATGTTGTTTGGTAGTCAGTAATCAGTCAATAATTTCTAGACTCTGTTAGACGACAATATCCTCCGGTGTATCTAACTTCGAAGAATTACAGATGGATAACACAGATCTGCATATTTAATAAAACAATAACAATAAATGATACTGAATAATCCGGATTCATTTGTACTTCATATTTTATCATCAGCTGTTTACAACCATATTCATCTTTCATCCACTTTAAAACCACTTGTTTTACACCCACTTGTTTCTTAAATTTATGTAAACTCTTCAAATCTTCATTAACTATTACCATTAAGATATTAAAAGACAAATTGTGCTAAGAAATACTTCTACTCAATAGGTGATTTATCAGTACTATACACTAATAGATAGATTCTTCAAATGAGTAGAAAGTTAATATCAAGTAGATGATGGTGAGTTAGTTGAACAATATAATAATCAGTTAGTTACATAGTGTTTAGAAAGTTAAAATTAAAACTAAGTTGAGTTTTCATAGTCAGTTAATTATTATTAAGTAGTTACATAAAATTAGGAATAAAATTTTAAATTGGATGTAAATATGTCAAGTATCTGAACGAGGAATATTGTTTTCGAGAAATTCTCTTCAGGTTCTACAATTCATATATATCCAAATTATTAATCCGAAAAAATGATCAGGTTAAAGGCCTCTTACAGCTTCCTCGAGTTCACCGATGGTCCGTCGTCACAATATATCCTTTAAAGTATGTGAATTTGGGATTTGTAAACAAAATACAATAAAATGGTTAATGTTGATATAACTCAGATTACGATTGATTAATTGGCCTTGATGTTGGCCGGGGGAGAAGGAGTGGTTGAAGATATTTATTCTTTACGCATAGCTCCGGTTTTTTCATCCAGATGGCTACTGCTTCAGCCGTTTAAAGGACTTTAAGTCTGACAAGTTTTAGCAAAAACTACTGACCTTATAAATAATTGAAAAAGATTGGTTTATACTGGCACTATGACCAGTTTGTACTAAATGGGCCAATATCGAGCTGTTGACTTTCTTCATCAAACCTTTGTTTAGCCATGCTGAGAAGTGTTCACGAGCACGAAAATGTAAATTCCTAGAACTTCGATCAATATAACTAGCTCCACGGGAGCAGTCGAACTGATAAATACAAAATGTGTGGTCATTCTAGGTAATTCATCTTTTTTCCCCGTTGTCACCATTGGGTGCGTAGAAAACACTAATCGCAGTTCTTCGGCGTTAAAAGATTTTTGTATTGTCCTGCGTAATCTCTGAGTTCATATTTCACTAGCCGCATCCCCTCTGAATTATAGACTCATGAACAGAGATTTCTTCTTCCCCGTTTGCGTTTCGCCTATTTTCACCTTTTAATATGATAGGGATCTTTAAACGATTAAAATATGTCAGAATGGGTTTTGTGGAGATTTTTAGAAATTTCACAGTCTGAAATATGTCTTTCGTTATTTGTGAAATTAATGATTGACAAATAATTCCCTTTCTGATTATTAAAAACAAAAACTTTAGTGAAGGGATCTCTTTTCAACGAGTTTATGATCATATATGTGTCTAAGTATTAGTTCTATGAAGACATGTAAACAATGAATGAAAATGATGTAATAGAAAGATTATTACACTAGATTACGTAATGTAATGACAGATTAATTGTAGGACAGGTGTAATGGAAACTAGATACAAAGGTAATCGAACATATTAAGTAAGATAAAAATTAAAAATTAATATCTTAACAAAATCAAAGTCTTGGAAATTTGAAAAGAAAAGAAAAAGATTTTTTAGTAAACGTAATAGTATCTAAGTGAAAGGTCAAGTTGAATTCTGAGGCTGTATAAACTTTTTTTCTGTAAACGGAAATTAGGTTAGTAGATATAGATTTCTATAAATTCTGATGTAGGTAAGCATTATTCATCTTACAGATAACATAAGACATTTGTATTTTAATTGTTGAATTCATGAATCGATCTAAGCTAGACCACCATTGAAAATCTGGAAGCACTGGACGGCCGTTTCGTCCTACTATGAGACTCCTGAGCAGTGCTCATCCACGATAGCGCACTCGGGACTCAAACCCAGGATCTTCAACCTCTCACGCGAGCACTAAACCACTAGACCACTGAGCCGGCATCCAACGGTGTTAATGTCTAACTTCAACTAATCCACGAAATTGAGCGACACATCCACCATTGTTTTCAGTGAGTTACTATCTCACAAAAGACCTGGTTGAACTCCACGGGTCACTACTTCTCACTAGAAACCAGGAGGTCCTGGGTTCAAATCTCGCAGGGGGCAAGGTCGTAAATGCACACCGCTGAGGAGTCCCACAATAGGACGAAACGGCCGTCCAGCGCTTCCAGGTTTTCCATGGTGGTTTAGCTTCAACTGACTCATGATCTTAACCATTGATATTTATAATTGTTAAATATATCATCTGCGTGATCAAACAAAGAATCTGGAATCATGTGAAAGATGAATTACACGAGATTCTTATTCTTGATGCAGACTGTATCTAAATTGTAAATTACAAGTTGAGCGTTCGTAGTTGGTAGGAATTTTTTCGATGGAGATTATAATGGTATAGGTAAAAGAAATAGAGAAATTTCCTCACTCTTAGCGTTAACTGGGGATTTGAAGGTATTATGATTACTTACCAATTATTTTCAATTTAGTTTATGTGTACGAACTGATATTAACCGGAAACTCATTAAAAACCAAGGAGAGCCTGACAGTTATTTTTTTACAAACTTTGAACTCTTCAGGATTCGAGAAAATCAAAACGAAAACAACAATATATAAGAATGACATTCGACAAGTGTAGCTCTATCGCATGAATGAACAGAATTTTTCAATTTTGATCCTTTGACTTTTGTAGTATGTTCACCTGACTGACGATCGTTAAACTAGCACTAAACAGCTGTCTACTGATCACTTATTTTTAGTGGTTTTACAGTCTATAACATTTCTTGTGTTATTAAACTGAAATCGATAAACAACTTAGATCAAACATTTTTTGATTGAGATCATGAACCGATTGATGTTAGACCACCACCTTTGGAAACCTGGAAGCACTCGACGGCCGTTTCGTCCTATCGTGGGACTCCTCAGCAGTACGCATCCATGATCCCGCACGCAGGATTCGAACCCAGGGCACCCGGTCTCGCTCGCGAACGCTTAACCAACTGGACCACTGAGCCGGCATCCAACGGTGTCAGTGCCTAACATCAACCAATCCACGAAATTCCGCGACCAACTTCCGTTGTACTGAGGTAGATACCTGTCTCTACCCGACATAGATTAGCTCCACTGGTCACGGCTTCTCGCTAGAACTCCGAGAATTCCCTCACGAAGCTAGTCACTAGTGAGCACATGTTGATTACTAGTATAGGGGTTGTGGAGATTATTAAGCTTTTGATTGAGATGTAGGTTTCCAAAGGTGGTGGTCAAACATCAATCGGTTTATGATCTCAATCAAAAACTTAATAATCTCTACAACCCCTATATTAGATCAAATTGTTTTATCATACAAGCTTGAGTTAATAAGGAAAACTGAGAAACAAGTATATGTTATCTATTTTCTTAGTAATTTAAGCTTAAGTAAGACTATAACGTTTATGCACCATGCTGCACAATATTGTTTTACAATACATCACCATCATGTTTAACAAAACAAATATATATGTCTGCACATTTATAATGAAACTGAAGAGACTAAGTGGAGTTTATTCATTTAGCTAATTAGTGCTCATGTAAAGGTAATTAATTTAGTGTAACAGACATACAATGATTAAATTTATATTGATCTACTTAAATATTGTGTGATATAATGATTTTAATTGGTTGACTAGGGCATGTGCCCCATTTATATAATCATTCATTCCTAGAATTAAGAAATACATTGATCATTTTAGTTTCTATTAGAGTAAAGTGTAATTCAGTGATTCTGATTCAATTTATATTTGTATTTTTATATTAATCATTTAAATTCTTTCACAATATAATGAATATGTCATCTGGGACTTTTCATTTATCACCTTGTGCACCAATTACAAAGTTTTTCAAAGATAAATCTGTTAAAGAGGTTCGTGAAAACACATCACATATTAATGCACATTTGATCAGTTTTAAAAGATGGTTACGTTCAATGCCACACCTTTCTTGTGCAGATGGTAAGTCACAATGGTGCTATTTTACTGTAATGATTTTTATCTAATTAAAGTACAGATAGCAGATATTAACTGTTTACCTTAAACGTTATTATAATCATTCAAGATAATTTAAGTATATTGAGCAGGTTGAATAGTTGAACAAGATTTCCAAATGAATGAAAATTTATTCGGAATTGTGTTTAGACTAACAGCTTATCATGCTCGGTTTTTTAATTGTTGAATTTATGAGTCGATCTAAGCTAGATCATCATTGAAAATCTGGAAACACTTGACGGTCGTTTCGTCTTAGTATGAAACTCCTGAGCAGTGCTCATTCGCGATACCACACGTGGGAGTTATTTCTATGTGAACGTCATTTGAAGTCCAACTTCAGTGTTTGTAATAATTACAATTACACTATACAATTGCAAGATGTATGTTTTAATGTTAAACAGTGTGAGATAGACTTTTAGCATTCCAATTTATAACAGTCTGTAATGGAAGATAAAATTTATAATTCACAAGAATGATTTAATCTTATCTCCTAAGACTTCACCAACAGTATAAAATGATTTTATTAGCCAATGAAACATATCGATCAAATGAAGAAATTGTAACAATTCCAATGTTTGAATTAGCCATGATGATGATGTCTGAAAATATAATGACAACGCTATATTTAGATCATATAGTTCCAAGAATCCAACACTGTCAATAATGAAATATCATCCAAGAGATCCATCTTGATAAATTAGTTATATTTTTTCTAGCTTGGAGATTGGGTAATAAAGATCGAAAGAATCCAAATTACAATTTATATATTACAACATAGGATTCTTTCTCATTTCTACAGTGTGTCCTACGTCATTTTTAGATAATAATTAAATGTAAAATGAATAAATTGGTAACTAGTGCGATCTTAACAAACTGACAGAAAACCATCTCAAAGCTAATTAATAATAATCAAACGATAACTTATCATTTGGATGGTTCAGGATTAAAGTTGGGTTTCGTCATGGACTGCAATTAGTCAGTGTGGATCCTAGGGAGTTCGGGAAATTCATGAAATGTATTTGCGGTGATTGTGGAGAAAATCCGTTGAATGAAGCAGTACTTTTTTCACTTAGATTAAGGATTTCGGCGAAGATCATGAAGACTGTATGGATGATAAAAGACCAGAACGACTACTGACCTTCTGTGTTGATGAAAACATTAAATGTGTACGGTGCATTGTGCTTTCTGACTGCTGATTTGATTTTTAGTTGGTCGCTAATGAACTGTATTGTTACCTCACATGATAGTGTTAAGTGAATCTCTTGAAACGATCAAGCCAATCAAAAGTATAATTTCTGAGGACTTTTGGTAATGTTTTGAACTTTAAAAAATACAGAGATAAGACAAGTGTAATCCAGAAGACGGGAAGTACTTTGGAAGGCAGAAGATTGACTTGTCTTCAATTTCAGTACTATAAAGTTTCTATGACGTCATTTTGTAGACTTATTTGAGTAACATATAAATATATTTCAATTTTGCTAATACATTTCGACTAATACATACATCAAGTACTGGAAGCTATTGAGAATTAAATCACAGGGTTATTACTGTTTTAATGGAATTAAGACAGAATTTGACTTTGTACGCGAATTCTGTAAATGTTTAAATAAAAACGTTTTCCAACTAAACTGTGAGTATGTATGTAATATTATTGGTCATTGTTCATTAGGAATTTATTTATCATAGGATATACTGGAAAGAATTAATGGTAAATATGTTCATCGGGTACCTACTTACGCTTGTTACTCCCAATGGAACATAGGCCGCCGACCAACATTCTCCAACCCACTCGGTCCTTGGCCTTCCTTTCTAGTTCTATCCAACTGTTGTTCATTCTTCTCATTTCTCGATGTAATATGTTCTTTCAACTTCCTCTCCTCCATTGGGTTTGTCTTGTGGAGCAGTTGGGTGCTTTCCTCAGTGTGTGTCCTATCCACATGTACTTAGAATAAGTATATGACAAAAATGTTTTCACCGTTGAGGAAATGTAAACTTTCTGACTAGGGATAGCATTTCTTCATCCTTATTATCTTACGATTCTTCAGATTACTTTCTTTAGATTTTCAAAATCAATTTAGACTTGTATTTAGTAATTTCTACTAAAAACATTTATTTGAGCAGTCAAGAAAATAAAAATAATCCCATGTTTTTTCAATAATTTCAATAATATAAAACTGATATATCTGATGAGACATTAATTCATTACTTGAATTAAAACAGGTAAGTACTGTATGTACAACCAATTTCATTAACAACATCAATTAATTATTACTACTATAATAATGAATGAACAATCAAATGGGGATAACCAATCTGTTACTTTATACAAAAATTACAGAATATCTTCGTAAACTATGAGAACCATACACTGATACTTTATTTGCAAATCTTCTATCATTTGTCTTTCACCTTCTGTATGATTCTTCAAGTTCACAATTCCTTTCCATTTTTTTCCTTTTATTCTGTTAAACTCGACCTTCTTAACCTCTACTTCCCGATTTTCTACTTCGGATTGGTGTTACATACTACTAATACCACATACTTATTACTTTAAAAGTAATAAGAAAAATCTATTTTTCCACATTTTGCATGTTTATAATAGATTTTAAAGCAATTATGAAAATGTCAAGCTGTTAACTTAAACATGAGACATGAACGGAACCTAAACAACGTTTTGAGATCCCATAATGCTCGTACCATTGGAGACTCTGATAAACACAGTGTCGAAGGTCAATTGTCTTGGTATTACCTTTTCCTGTGATCTGTCTTGGTCTTCTCACGTTTTATTGTTATCAATGAAGGTTTTCCGTCTGACTTACTACATAAAGAAACTACATGCTCTTGGGATTACTCGTCACTTACTTTTACAACTTGTCAATTCTTGCATATTACCTATTATTCTTTACTGTTCTCCATTATTCTTTTCCGGGCTTTTGAGAAAAGACTTTGCTGTATTGCGTAGAGTACTGAAGGCAGTTATCAAGGTGTGTAGTGAATCTTTCGAGGTCATAATTAATATGGTTGTGGATAGACATCCAAAGTCATGCAAACTCCTGTCAGGTGTTATTTTATCAGATACTAACCATCCCTTTCACTCATATCTTTCTGCTTGTATATCTTCTGGTAGAATGAGACGTAATTACATTAAAATCCATGCATGCAAGCAAAAGTATAAAAGTTCTATAATACCTTACCAAGCAAATATACTCTGTGACAAACAGGTCGTTAGAGTCAACCTAGTCAATAACCTGCATTATTAACATGTCTCTAATTTGGAAAGTTGTACAGTTTTTCAGATTATTTTTTAACCCTTTTTGCTTTCTTTTTTGTAAAAGAAACCTGTTGAAATACCTTGTACTGAGAATTCTATATTGTACCAAAATATCATATTGAATAAAACCATTAATAACAATAATAATAATAATAAAGATATTTAACTTATTTTTTAATTGAGATCATCGATCGATGAGTGGTGGACCACCATTGAAATTCTAGAAGCACTGGACAGTAGTTTTTACTCTATATGAAACTTTGAAGCAGTGCGTATCTACAATCCCATAGGTGGGATTTGAACCCAGAACCTTCGGTCTCTCGTACAAAAGCTTAACACTCATTCATTCATGATCTCAATAAAAAATGTAACAATATTCACAACTTCACACTGATAATTTAATTGTTTTTCTAATATTAAATAAGTAATTATTGAATTAACTAATGATACTAATCGCATAAAATTTATTGATTTTGATTGTATTTATAAAATTAAATATCTGGTAATTTTTAATTATTTAAATGATGGAACGTTTTGTAACCGATTAATTGAACAGTGAGAATGATTTGATTTTATTGATTTATTGGAAATAGAATTGATAGATGTATATTTTTAAAATTTAAATCATGCACTGACACTAGCTAGAACATTGTTACAAAGTAGGAAGCAATAGAAGGACGTTTCATCTTAGTGTAACACTTATCACCAGTGTACATTTACGACCCCGAATCCGGAAATCGAACCAAGGACCTTTGGTTTTGTACGCAGACACTCAAAATTCAAACCACTGAGCCGGTATTCATTAGTATCAATGTCTAACTTTAGTCAATTCATGATCTTGTGAAACACTCATCCATTACTTACGGTTGGTAATTACCTTACACGATACATGTTTGAGCTCCATGAAGCACAGCTTCTCACTAGAAATATGAGTTGCGTCTTGAAGACATTTCCTAGTGAACTTAATTACTTGCACCTGTTACTCCTCGTGAAGGAGCATAGATCAACCACCAGCATTCGCCATCCAACCCTGTCCTGGGTAATCCTCTCCAGCTCCTTCCAGTTGTCATTCATCTTTTTCACATCTGCTTCTATTTCCCGACGTAATCTGTTCTTTGGCTTTCCTCTTTTCCGCTTTCCTTCAGGATTCCAAGTTGGTACTTGCCTCGTGATGCAGTTTGATGATTTGCGTAATATATGTCCTACCACTTCCAACATCTTTCCCTAATTTCTTCTTCACCTGGAAGCTGGTTTGTTCTCTCCCAGAGAAGGCTATTGCTGATGGTATCCGGCCAGTGGATGTTGAGTATCTTGTGCAGACAGTTGTTTATAAATACTTGTACACTTTTGATTATGGTTGTAGTAGTTCTCCAAGTTTCAGCTCCGTACAATAGAACTACCTTGACGTTCGTATTGAAGATTTCGACTTTGATATTGGTTGACAGTTGTTTTGAGCTGCATATGTTTTTTAGGTGTAAGAATGAGGCCCTTGCTTTGCCAGTCCTCATTTTTACATCTGCATCCGATCCTCCACGTTCCTGGATGATGCTTCCCAGGTGTGTGAAGTATTCTACATCTTCCAGAGTTTCGGCATCAAGAGTGATTGGATTGCTGTTCTTCGTGTTGTATTGTAGGACCTTTGTTTCCCACTTTTGTATATTGAAGCGTACTGATGCAGAGACTGCTGCGACACTGGCTGTCTTTGTCTGCATCTGTTCGTGTGTATGCGATAGGAGGGCTAGTTCATCTGCGAAATCCAAATCGTCTAACTGATTCTGAGCTGTCCATTGTATTTCGTGTTTTCCCCCAAATGTCGAGGTCTTCATAATCCAGTCGACCACCAGAATAGAGAGGAAGGGAGAGAGTAGACAGCCATGTCTGACACCGGTCCTTACTTGGAATGCATCTGTCAGCTGTCCTACATGCACTACTTTGTACTGTAGTCCGTCGTATGAGTTCCGGATTATATTGACAATCTCAGGAACTCCGTAGTGTCGAAGAAGTTTCCATAACGTCCTCCTATCTACGCTGTCAAATACCTTTTCATTATCAATGGAGTTGATGTACAATGACTAGTTCCACTCAACTGATTGTTCGACGATGATCCGTAGTGTCGCAATTTAGTCTGTGCACGACCGATCCTTACGGAATCCAGACTGTTGATCTCGGAGTTGGGCGTCTACTGCATCTTTCATCCGGTTCAGCAACACTCCGTTGAAGACTTTCCTTTGTACCGACAGTAGTGTGATGCCTCTGTAGTTTTCACATTTGCTCAGATCTCCTTTGTTTGGAATCTTGATGAGGTGTTCTTCTTTCCAGTCCATCGGCACTTGTTCCTCCTCCCAAATCTTTTTGAATTGAAGGTGAAGCATGTTTGTAGTTACTTCGATGTCTGACTTCAGTGCTTCAGCTGGTATATTGTCGGGTCCTGCTGCTTTCCCGCTCTTGATTTGTCTGATGTCCATTCTGACTTCTTCCGTCGTTGGTGGATTGACATCTATAGGAAGATCTGTGTGTGCTGCTTCGATGTCCGGTGGATTCATTGGAGCCGGCCTATTCAGGAGTTCCTCGAAGTATTCTAATTATCTGTTCCTCTGTTGTTGTAATTTCAGTGATTGGCCTGCCTTCTTTGTCTTTGACCAGTCTCTCTGGTTCATTGTATTTCCCTGCTAGTTTCTTCGTTGTATCGTAAAGCTGTTTCTTATTTCCTTCTCTTGCAGCCTTTTCCGCCGTCGTTGCTAGTTCTTCCATGTATTTCTTCTTGTCGGCTCTAATGCTATTCTTCACTTGTTTGTTTGCTTCTATGTACTCAGCTTGTGCTTAAATTTTCTCTGCTCGTGTTCGGCAGTTGCTAATTGCTGTCTTCTTGTTTTTCCTTTCTTTGATCCTGTCCAGTGTTTCTATGCAGATCCATTCCTTATGATGATGCTTCTCTAGGCCCAGAACCTCTTGACACGTTGAAGTCAATGCTTCTTTGATACCTTTCCAGTTGTCCTCCATAGTAGTTTCTTCTTCCTTCAGTAGATCCTGTAAGGCTTGGAACCTGTTGTTTAGAGCTATCTTGAATTCATTGAGTTTGTCAGTATCTCGAAGGAAAGCTGTATTGAACCTTTGTAGTGCCGTTTGTCCAGTTGTCCAGTTCTTTTTTAGCTTCAGTTTTAAATTGGCCACATCTAGGTGGTGATCTGGGGCTATATCAGCTCCTCTCCTGGTTCTCACATCTTCCATTGTCCTTCGGAATTTTTTGTTGATGCAAATATGATCTATCTGGTTCTCTGTAGTGTGGTCCGGTGAGATCCATGTAGCCTTGTGTATACGTTTGTGTGGAAATATTGTGCCTCCTATGACCAATTTGTTGAATGCACATAGATTTGCAAACCTTTCTCCATTTCGTCTCTCTCTCCCAGTCAGTCCATGTCGTCCCATGGTATTTCATATCCGGTGTTGTCTATTCCGACTTTGGCATTTAGATCAACCATCAGAATGGTGAGGTCCTTTCTTGGGCACTTCTCTATGATTGACTGCAGCCGCTCGTAGAATCGGTCTTTAATGTCGTCGTTGCTATCATTGGTGGGTGCATAACATTGGATAATATTCATTGTGATCCCTCCTTCTTTGTTTGAATGATGCTTGATGATTCTGGATC